AGATTTGGGCTTGGAATGCGCGAGGCAGATTCTGGTCACTTGTCTCCATATTCGATATCCCAACAGATGCTGCTCCTCTTGTGGTGCTGAACCTCTACAACAATGATAAATTGTTTATTGAGGATTACAAAGGTGATTTGCTGCTTTATGATCATGCTACCAGACAGCTAGAGAATCTCAGGATCCCTATCGATAGACGAGGGTCTTCGCAGTTTTTCCCTTATGTCAAGAGCTCTGTTGGTCAAAGCTCTAGCAGTTAATATGCAAAGAAAGAAACAAGGAAAAAAAGTCCTACTCGTTTTGTGGCTTAATGCTTGGTGCAAAGAAATTAAAAGACAACTCCTTTTTGTAGATGAATGCCTGAATCTGAAATACGTAATTTTTCCGTAATGTGTCCGTTTTCGGTTGGAAAAGAAGATGAGTCTGATTCCAAAGAGAATAAACAACAAAACCTTTTTTGAATTGGAAAGCATATATACATTACATGCCTAGTATTTCACATGTATGATAATTTGAAACATATGTGGTAATGAAAATTTAGTCAGACTCTGCATGCATATGTTTTCTTTACATGGAGTCATCAATCTGATTTGGTTGCATGGAGTTCGAGTGAAATAAGAAGTTACATGGTCGAAATTTTTATCAACAAAGGAGTTTGAGTGGCTCATAATTTTGGGCTCAAAATTATGGATATCTTAAGGCCATAAACACTTTTTCACAATAAATTGGCGGGAAATTTATATATATAGACTCCATGTAAGAGATATTACAAACTTTAATCGAAAAGGAATTTGGAAGTGATTTTATTTTCACATCTACAAGAAAGAATCGCCAAAATAGAAATTCGAAAAAAAAAAAAAAAAAGTTACCAAATTTGATAACTAAAATTAAGGGATTTATGAATTCAAAATTTCATACGGGACTGTCTGTTCATCGGCATCTTGAATTTGAAAAAAATATTGTCCATCCAGCTGAAATAAAAAAGCTCCAATCGGGATTTGAAAGGAAAAATTGTTGTTCGTGAAATGTCCTCAGATAAAAAATTGTGAAGATAATTTTGTGATAGTGTTTTTTATGTGGTGATTTATTACCATAGTGGTGTGTGTTTTTTCTTCTTTGTTCTTTAATTTCGATCGTTAATTATGTGGTCTCGAGTGATAATTTCTTTATTTTCAGGAGTCTGTTTCCTCAGTGATATAGCAACTTTAAGACGTTTGGAAACGACACGAGAATATTTGGAAGACGATGGTCTTTACATAGAATTCATGGAACATGTTGCAGATACTATGTTGAAAAACAGAGAAGTATACGAAAGATAAACTTGAAAAAGAACAACTCCAGAACACTTGGAGTTGTGGTCGATTGATGCATGAATACTGTTATTGTTGTCGACGAAATGTTCAAAGATAAAAGTGTTCATGGGCCTTATTGCTTCAATTAAATGGTGTAATCATTGTAGACCTATTATTGTTATTGATGGTACTTTCCTTAGTTCAGCAAATAGAGATACGACAAGGCCGGGTTTCAGAGGGGGTGTGCTTTGGCGGTGGCGAGATGAGCTCCGTTTATGGCCACATAAATGTTACGGTGGGGGTTTCAGTTCGGATTATCTGAGTTTTGACATTAATTTGACGTTTGGTTTGCGAAAGCAAATCTTTTGTAAATAAAATCACTATATTTGTCATTGAATTTTGTGTGATAATATTTCCTTTATCTATCGTTTATGTTGAGTATAACCAGGGGCGGACCTAGGCGGGGGCCCGTAGGGGCACGGGCCCCTGTGCAATTTTTGAGAAAAATTAGTACATATATAATTATAATGTAAAATAATCATAAATTTTCTTAAAATTTAAGTTGTTTGCATTATATATTTGTATATGTTGTAGACAACATATATAAATACACTTAGATCAATTTTTCACAAAAGTCAACATTGATTTTGATACATATTGAATTTTAAGTGTTCTTAAGTTATAAAATATATTTAAACTTAGCTACTAAATTGTGTTTGTCATTAAATTTTTAACTAATACAATATTTATCTTTATTACAAAAAAGTTTACGAATGCTGACGTTGTAAGAATATTCAATGCAAAATAAAAAAAAAAAAATGTTGGTATTTGAAAAAGATTTATTTAATGAGATTTGAATTAATGTAATTATAAGTAATATAATATATAAGAACATGCAGAGAATAAATATCATTTTTTTTTCACTTTGTAAATGTTATATTTGTGCTCCCTCAGTCTTGTGAGTGTGCGTCCGCCCCTGAGTATAACTTATTATGCTTGTGTATGACATGAAAATTTATGTGTTGTGTTAATAAATTTGGATTGCTCTTTAAGGTTTTACGATTTTTTATCAATTTGAGAAATGCGAGTTGCTCATACCCAATCCAATATCAAAACATATCAAAGTTCTCTATAGCGACAACCATAGAAAGAGTTATACCACAATAAACGAGAAGCAAGAGAAGGGATGCAAAAGTGATGATGATCCGTCCGGGTGGCTGTGAGTTGCTACTTCAAGTTACAAATGATATACATCATGTTTGTAATATTTTATGTTGGTTTTGAATTTTCTTTTGAAGGTGATTTTTTTATGTTTCAATAAAAATGTTAGGGTTTGATTGTTTATGAAATGATTTGTTCAAAATGAGTTATTTTGATTAACTATAGTTAATTTTGAAAAACTGTGTATGGTTAGTTGTTAGTGAAATTTTAAGAATGTATTAAAATAATATTTAAAATAAAATAATTAAAATTGATTTGATATAAAAGTAAGAGATAAATGATTGGAAATGATTGGAAATGAAAGGTAGTTTAAAATGATGTGAGTGAATGAATTGTGAATTAAAGTTGTTGTGATGTGTAAGAATGATTGGTTTGTATTATTTAACTAGTACAACGGCCGTGTATTACACGGGTGCTTGCTAATTTTTTCTTAAAATCTAAAATTAATGAGAAAAAGTAGTTGAAAATTTAAATATCTTTTATAAATATATATACATATATTATTATATATTTAGTATGACACTTTTTATTTGTGCTAACTTACATGTGTTATATTATAATAATTTTTTAAACTTACAACATATAACTACATTAAACATAAATATATCAATTGAGAAATAATTTTATTTTTCTAATGAATTTTAATATATATTATTATTTTTCGTTATTATAAATATAAATATAATTTTTTTATTTCATATATACAATATGGATGTCAAATCGAAGATCATCAAAAAATGATTAATTTGATATATTATATATGTAAAACCGATAAGAAATACAAAAGTTATCAACTTTTAAAATACATTTATAATTCAATAGTTAATTGAAGGAAACAAATCAAAAGTCAGGAATATATTAGTCACTTAGTGCCTCAGTATGTAGAATTACAAAGGAATAAAGGGTTATATTAGTACAAGTGATATTAAAATACCTAAGTTAGCTAAATAATATTTATGGAATGTCCAAACTAAATTATTAATTATTAATATATCAATATTATTTGTCCAAATCTAATTACGAAGCATGATTCTTTGCCAAGTAAAATTCCAAAGCACCAGAAATAGCCACGGAGGCTCAGCGCATTCGGTAATAATATATAGGGAGGATTATATGAATAATATTAAAAATAATAGGGTTGAATTAAAATTAAATTAAATTTCGAGTTAAAATAAAAATAGTAAAATAATTTGTAAACAATCAAGCCCTAAAAAATCTAATTTACTTACATACGCCCAAATTTCAGGTATCATATAAAGTATTTAAAAGTATTTAGAATTTTTTAATTAAATAAATACACGTCAATGAGTACTATAAATTGGCAGTCACGTGTTTGTGCTGTTGTTTGCTTCAGTCAATTTTTGTGGCGATTTGTTCTTCTTCCTTAGGCAGAGACATGGGAATGGGATCCCTCTTAAACAACTGCAATCTATCTGCCAAATCTAAATTAAAATCCAAATCGAAAACAAAACATTCAGACAGTAACAAAGTTGTTGCCAACGCGAAATCGAAGTTGATGAAATCCGCTAATGCTCAGCCCAAGTGCATGTTCCTGGTGAGGCACAAACACAACCTGGTGAGGCACAAGCACTACAACGAAATCCCCGATTACTCTGTAATCTCAACCGAAGGAAACTCCTTCAGAGTACTAGACGAGGATGATGATGATCTTCCTCGCAACTTATTGTCTCTACTAAGATCTAAAAACAACGTGTTCGACGTTCGTGAATGTTGCGGCTCATGGATTTGGTTGCTACATGAGGAAACTGGTGTCGCGCCACAGGATCTTGTGTGGGACATGGAGACGGATACATGTATATTCCCCAGTTTTCCCTATGTTTTCTCCTCAAGAATTAATGATTCCGTGTTGGCTTACGGGTTCGGGTTTGATCCTTCATCCGGACACTATAAGCTGGTCAGATGTCGTTGGGTGGCCTGCTTTGTAGAAAGGTACGCTGAGGTGTTTTCCCTCACAACTGGTTCGTGGAAGGCCGTTCACTTTCCTTATGGCTTGCACGTGTGTCCCAGTGTTCGCCCCTCTATTCACATTAATGGCTTCTACTATTGGATAGTTTGGTCGGAGCCTGATGAGAGTTCTGCTATTATGTCGTTCGACTTTGCTAAAGACCAGTTTAATGCTCTTATCCCTTTACCTTACAAGGAAAAGTCGAGGAGGTTTGTGAAAAGTTGTTGTAGTCGAATTTCAGGGCTCTCTTGCGGCTGTTTGTTGCGATCCCAAGGACAATTCTTTTTGATGGAGATAAGGATGTTTAGAATCTTTAATTATTATTATTATTATTATTATTATTATTATTATTATTATTATTATTATTATTATTATTATTATTATTATTATTATTAGTGGTATTATAGATTTGTTAGGAAACTTATTATTTAGGATTCTTGTCTTGTTACACAAGTTAGTATTATTAAAGATCTTGTCTTGTTGGACAAGTTAAGAATAATGTTTATGAGTCTTATTTAAAGGGCTCCCCATCTATTGTTTTATTCAGTTGAATTTGAGAATGAATTAAAATTGTTCGTGTTTTTTGGGAGAGTATCCCAAGTTCGAGAGAGGTATCTCGTTTTATCCTTCCCATTCGTACGCTTCCCCTACATCACTTTTGTTCTCGAGATTTGGGCTTGGAATGCACGAGGCAGTTTTTGGTCCCTTGTCTCCACATTTGATATCCCTGCAGCTGCTGCTCCTCGTGCGGTGCTCAAACTCTACAAGAACGATAAATTGTTTCTTGAGGACTCAAAAGGTGACTTGCTGCTTTACGATCATGCTACTAGACGTCTGGAGAATCTACGGATCCCTATCGATAGAAGAGGGTTTTCGGAGTTTTTCCCTTATGTCAAGAGCTGTGTTGGTCCGAGCTCCAGAGATTAATCTGCAAATTTAGTTAGAGCTCAAAGTGAGGGCATATTTATTGGTTTGGTGGCATCTTTTCTTCGATTGAGTGTCGTCTTGGGTAAACCCCTGAGAATTGATTGTGAGACTATAGTCCATTTCTTTAACAGTTGATTTTTGTCATCAGGAAACATCAGAATGTTAGCTTCTTCGGAATGTTCAGCTCTTTACTAAAAAGGTTTTGAATAAAAAGAAATTCGTTTGAAGCAATTTGTTCCGAACCATATGTATGAACTTTTTAACCATGGTGTCAGCAAAAGCGGGTGACGTAGTTGTTGGTAGTTGCCGCCTTTGCGCTCCCTAAAAAATAAATAAATAACTTTATTGAATTGGAAAAATTATATTGCATTGCTTGTATTACATGTATGGGAATTTGAAACATAAAGCATCACATGTGTGGCCATGAAACTTTGGTTATATGTTTTTCATTTCATAAATTTGGCTTGTCTGTACCTGGAGGCATCAATACTGATTTGGCTTGTCTATATCAAGAGCTCTGTGATCTAGCGGTTAATCTACGAATTTAGTTAGAGCACATAGAAGGTCGTAATTATTGGTGTGGTGGAATCTTTCGTCGTTCGAATGTCATGTTATCTTGTTTATGTGAACGGTATCTGCTCCTAGAAAAGGTTAAATGGTTGAAGGTAAGGAACCATGTATAAAAAAAAAGCTTGATTTTTGCAGGGAAAATGTGCAATCGTAATATGTTCACAGCAATAGAATCAGATGAAAATAATGTGGATATTGATGAGAATCTTCACGACCAATAGTTAGTTATGTGTGACCATTTTGTGTGATGTGTACAAGTAATTAGAGCTTTTGAGGTTTGAATAGTTTGTTTGTGTAATGATGAAGTGTAGGTTCGTTTTTTTTTTTTTTT